CCCCAAAACCCCAAAACCCCAAAACCCCTTCATTAGCGTCAAAATATTTTGCCTAAATTCGTTATAATTTATTCCAGCATGAATCTCAAAAATCTCAAATTCTTCAGGCAGCGTGAAGGTAAGTGCACTTGACTAAGCTTGCCATAGTGGAAGAAGACTCTTCCTCAGTCTACAGCTCAATAGCACTGAGCCCTTCACCCAGGACAAAGAAGGATGGTTTCTTAGAGTACTTCCACAAGTTACTCAACAAGGATCAGGAAAAGGTTCCAAAATAGTAAGAATCTGGTCTATTTTGGTCGAAATTTGAATATTAGTTACTAAACTTATCCCACATAGAGCCAAGCCTGAGCATTATCAATGATATCTTCAACTTTGGAAATGACAAATAAAGGTATGATTCTGTAAGAAATCTTAGAGTTATTCTCCCTATCGAAACAGTTTTTCTACAAGAAGGATAAGACCCAAGATAAGAAGGAAAAGCATAAGAAGTTCTTAGAGTTTCACCTCAAATTAGAGATCGCTCTTCAAGAACAGAAGGAGAGGTACAGACGGCTCCATAAAGGTACAGAGACGGTTTGATCTGTAGATAAATTAATCGATAAAATCAAGAGAATAGCTCATTTTAAAGTTGAAAAATAAGTGCGAAATACCTCTCTCAACCAAGATCATGTTCAATCTGGGCCAAGTCGGTACAAGTTCAGAGTAACTTATCTAGAGAAGAATCATTCTCCTATCAAGAAGGCCCGAGAAAGACATAATCGGAGTGTGAACGCAACGAGTAAATTCATTTTAACCCTTAGACAAGGCCAAATACCCACATTTAAGGCTAGATGACTCAGTCCTAATCTTACCACAAAAATCAATGGAAAGATTTACATACATAAAGAACCAAGCTAGTCAAGAACGTAAGAAAAGGTCCAAAAATAGCGCTAGTGTTCTAATGAAGAGGTAGATATTAAATCTGACATTCTAGGCCATCTTATGCGCAAAGAGAGATTTCACAGAATGGTATGTCCAACAAAGACTATCCTCTAGATCTTGATCGTGTATTTAATTCCTTAAAAGATCAATCTGCTCAAAACGAACTTTCATCTGTTGAGATGTCAGTCAGTAAAAACAAGGCTTTGAACTGGAATAGCATGCAAGAGCTGTTACAATTCGAGCATGACCAGCGCGTCCTAGAATCTTTAATCCACCAAGGGAGTAAAGTCTCTCTCAATCTCTTCTAGAAGTCCAAATCGAAGGAAATGTTTACCAAAAAGGCATCAAAGTAGACAAGGCCATCAGAGAAATCACTGATGAAAATTAAGAACTTTTTCAAGTTTTATAAAGACAAATTTAGCATTGACGCTCAGAAGATTAACCCTTTCGTAAACTTGGAATACGGTAAGGCTTTCTCTGAGATAGTTTAGGGTCACCTACCCTAGCCTTAGATAATCCAAGGTAAGATTTGGACTCAAAATTAGGAAGAAAAGAACAAAGCGTGTTAAGAGAAGCCCCAGCTCCATCTCACAATTTCTCCCACAGGTATCTCACCTAGTTTCACTCTAGATGCGTAAATATCAGAACAGATCTGTGGTTTTGAAGCCGCAGCTAGAGAACCTTGGCCTTGAAAAGTCTAAGACCAAGGATGACAGGCTTAGTCTGAAGAGAAGCCTTAAAAACAAAATTAGTATAATTGATAAAATAGCAACAGGTATGTTCAAACCTTGATAAATCAATAGGCAAAATTAAGACTGCAAAGAACTAAGACATTAGGTTTGATTGAAAAAGCACTCGAAAGTAGGCTCTCATAGTTATTTCCTTAGACCCAGCCCTTGATTGATGAAACAACAAGATTCCGATCAGACAAATAGGTATTTGATAAATTTTGAATTACTAGAACATCAGAAACTACCTCTTAAGCTATCTCCAAGAGATCCTTCAGCAGCCAAGGTATAGTCAGTCCTCTCACTCTTTAGGAATTTGAAATTAACAAGAAGATGGCAACTTTAAAAATGCATAAAAGAGGTAATTAGCACTGTAGTGTTACAATTTTGCTTTAACTTCTTATTATAGGAGCACTAAAGTCATATTTCAAGTCTCTTAAAAAGTGAATCAAGCGTCAGGATCAACTAACTGATCAAGTGAATGATAACATCACCACAAACAGGCTCAAAGTAGACCACATTGGGATTTCTCCAAAAGAGAATGAAGTCCAACTTGAGCTGCTAAACCCAAAGATCCAGCGTAGCTTTAACAAACAAGTGAAGCACTGGTGTAATATTGAGAGGTTCAATTTACCCCAAAACGTTAAGATACAGTCAGAATTCTCCAAGGTCCATTTAGTAACTCCCAAGAGGAGCAAATCACCATAATTTTCAATCTCTCCGGCTAAAAAAGGGGTTTTGGGGTTTTGGGGTTTTGGGG